CCGTACTCTAACTCACCTATAATCAGATTATTTGATCGACGTGTTCTGATCAGGATTCTAATCAATGACTTGATGAGAAATCACTGAAAGTTTCAGGTTTTTATCTTTAATTGTTTCTCAGATGTTCAAACAGCCTCAGATTTCAACGTGAGAAAAAAAACCTGCTGACAGCATTTTTTCAAAAGGTTTTATGAATATCCGTTGTTCTATAAACGTTCTGATCCGAGACGGGATGCGTTCACGGTCAGGGTTTCCTGAGACAATGAAGGAAAACGCCGACTTTCAAAACAAACATTTATTGGAGTGAAAAGTTTCAGACGTACGTCACAGTTCACAGCAAAGACCTGGTTCCTCCTCTGGAGGTCCCCACTGTTCTGTATCTGGGTCATGAAGATGTTCTGAGAACTCTGACCGTTAGCTGTGGTTCTCCTCAGGCACTCATGATGTTCTAAAGTTCCTACGGGCCTCCAGAACCAAAGCTTTTGATAAAGTCATCAACCAGCTGCTCATCCAGACTCCTTTATACTGACACCAACTGGGTCGAGTCATCAGAACACCGTGTTTGATGACCAGCAGAGAGACTGATGGGTTCAGGTCAACATTTATGCTCTAAAACAACTGAAAGGACCTGATTTTAAACCACAGCAGGTTTGTTTTCTGCTCAAACTCAAAGCTGAAGAGAACGTTTAGTTCTCTGGTTTTACATCCTGACGTCGCTGCTCATGTGGAACGGACCAGAACTTGTTCAACAGGAGGTATAAGGTTGTCATGTCCATGTTAGTTATATTTGGACACCAAACACGGCAGAACATCACAGATAGACCGTCTCCACCATGAAGCACGGCGGTGGCAGCATCATGGTTCAGGACCCAGTTCAAGTCCAGTACTTCCTGCTTCAGAAGAGTCTGGGTTCAGATCCGGACGTAGCTGTTGATGTGGTTCTTGACGCTCTCTGCGATCTGCTCCTGGTTCTTCATCCTGTTGTAGTAGTCCAGAAACAGCCCGTCCGGACTGACCAGGTAGATCAGGATCGTGTGGTCCACGATGTAGTCTCCGTCCTCGTCCTTGGGCCCGGCGCTGGCGTACACTCTGTAGTCCCGCCCCGCATGTTTCACCTCCTCCGTGGTTCCCGTCAGTCCGATCAGCCGCGGGTGGAAGTCCTGGACGTATCGGGCCAGCGCCGCCACGTCGTCCCTGTCCGGGTCCACGGTGATGAAGAGCGGCTGCACCGGCGGCAGCGAGGCGTCCCGGTCCAGCGAGGCCACCACGGCGCTGAGCTTGTCCAGCTCGTCGGGGCAGATGTCGGGGCAGTGAGTGAAGCCGAAGTACAGCAGAACCCAGCTGCCCAGGAAGTCCTGCTTGGTCCGGCGCCGCCCGTGGTGGTCCAGCAGGCTGAAGGTGCCCTGACCCAGCGCCACCTGCCGCAGCTGCTCCACGCGCTGCCGCCGCAGCTTCTGCTGCTTCTCCCAGTGGACGAACCACCAGACGGCCATGATGCCGCCGCCGAACAGCAGCGTGACGAGCAGCCGCGTCCGCAGCTTCAGCTTCGCCGCCGCCGCCGAGTCCCGACCCTGGGACAGGAAACGGACCTGCTGAGGAGGACGGACATCCCGCCGGGTTGGCCGGATCGTTGAGCTCAGAGGCGACGTCACAAATGTCCTCAGGAGTTGTCCTCGTCCGCGCAGATCTCCCAGAATGCACCGCAGCAGCGACATCGCCAACGTCCTGCAGAGACGACGTTCAGTCTGAAGGTTTGAACTGATGAAGGCCAGAGTTAGAGTAATTAGAGCAACGAGTATTTATGTTCTCAGTTTCTAAGTTTGGTTCTAAACTGGTCCAAACCAAACATTCAGTTTACTGTCGTGGAGGAAAGAACCCAGAACACATCCACATTCATGAAGCTGCGTCTCTGAGTCATCCTGAAAACTGATTCATCAACGATTTTAGTGACAGAGTTCATGATTGTGACTGATGGAGCAGTGAGAGGCCAAACTACAACAATAAATCAATAACAGAATAATAAAATAAAACTGGTAATAAAAAGAAGAATCTTGTTAAAGATCTTCTGAAAAGCGCTTTGACTTTATTTTGAACCCTTCGGGCTTCCATACCTCCACCTCTATGCGTTGTAACCAGCTGACGCCATCTTGGCTCCTATTTTAAATAGTTTCACCTGCAGCTGGATGATAATAAATCCAGTTTTCGTGACTTTAAACCCGCCTGACATCGACATGAACCCACCCGACCTGCTGCGCAGACGTTCACCTGCTCTCAGGAGAGTTTCCAGACGTCTCTTACGTTCAGTAAGTTCGGTTTATTCACTTTAAATGTCGAACATGTCGGATTTTCTGTGCGAGCCGAACAGGACCGCGGAGCAAAGACGAGCGCTGTCACATCAAAGCTGGTTAAATGTTAGCAAGATGCAGCGGGCCGGATGCTAACAATACACAGCTGTGGTTGACAGCGTAGTTAACCAATAACTAGAGGTTAACTAGCAGTGCGCTAGCATGCAGCTAACTACGAGGAAGCACTCAGTCACCTTAACCTGCTGCCGGGAAGCTAACGGTCTGCGGAGGCTAACGTTAGCAGTTAGCGGCCGTGCTAACAGGTTTAGCTTCGTGTGTTTCTGTATTGAACTCAGGTAGAAATCAGCTGTTAGCTCACCTGTTCAGGTCCGGACACACATCAGGGCTCTGCGGTCACACATGGACCGGTCGGTTTACATCACACACCACCGGGTTTACCCGAACTGACCCGAGTCCGCAGATTCGACACGAACCGGAAGAACCGCCCACAAATACCGATAATCAATAAATCAATAGAAGGTATTGGTTATTCCACTGAAGGTAAAACTGTATGTAAGGAGCACAAACTGTGTGTTAGGAGCATGAATCAGTGAAATAAATGCACAGAAATGTGTTTGAACGGGTTCTGATCAGCAGATTCGAGCATTTTTCATTTTACATAAAAATCAGACATTAAATATAAAAACGTTTCACTTTAATATTCAGTCTTTATGTAGATTCACAGTTTGATTCTAGTTTTACATTTAATTCAAATAACGGAGACGGATTTATTTCATCAGTGGAGTTTTATTTATGCGTCACATTTCAGACAAAATAAATCTAATTCAAAGTTGTTAAAAAGAAGTTTTACACTAAATAAATTAAAAATAATTAAACAGAAAAATGTTTAGAAAATGATCCTGAATGACAGCAAAGTGAACAAAATACGATTAAATCATAAAAACACGTGACTTCAGAATCAATGCATGTTTTAAATGTGATATATTTTATATTTATAGACGAACCACAGCAGCATGAATCTGATCCTCCAGAGTCTCTGAAGCTCCTCATCAACAGATTATAACGAACTACATGTGAACAGGTCAGAGTCGACCAATCAGCTGCAGCTCACCTGCAAACAGGAAGTGAAACTGTCTGACCTTAACATCCAAACCAATGAAATAACTTTAAATATAAAAACTTTAACTGCGCAGAATTAGCAGGAACAAGACCGAGAAGAAGAACCAAAAATATTCACTCGACAGAGAAATAAAAACAGGAAATATATATATACAATTATGTTAGCTTAGCTCTGACAAGCTGTTAGCTTAGCTCTGACAAGCTGTTAGCTTAGCTCTCTCAAACCTGTTAAAATATGTTTGAATTGAACTCTGTGAAGCTGTTTGTCTGGAAAAACTGCTCATTATTATTATTATTATTATTATTGTTGTTGTTGTTGTTTGTTATGAATAATAATGAGGACGTCCTGATGAGTGACTCGTTGTGGCAGGTTTCCTCCAGCAGGTGGCGTCCTGACGCTTCAAACCAACGACACAGAAACTCGTTAATAAACAAACATCACCAGGATCAGTGTGTTGATCAGATTGATCTGATTATTAACGATCATCTTCAGCTGATTGGTCTGTGTGGATGAGAGGTGGGAGCAGAGCATGCTGGGAGATTCTCTCCGGTTTAAACGCTGCGAAGCCAGAATGACTTCATCAGAGTTTATTTTAATAAACGACTGCGTTTAAGAACTTTATTAGTTTTAATGACAGTGATTCAACCTGCAGAGTCTTAACGAGTCTCTGACTCGTTCTGGGTTCGTCAGAAAGTCTCTGAACAACTTTGAGTTTCGTCCTCTGGAGTCTCTGAAGGTTCTTTGTTCTCCTGCAGGACGGAACCATGTTTTATTAATGAGCTGCAGGAAACCGGGTCGCAGCTGCTGCAGGCGCACAGCGGCGGGCCTGTGGTGTACCAGGGGCACGAGCTGCTGCTGCTGCTGTTGTTGTTGTTGTTGTTGTTGTTGTTGTTTTGCTGCATGTGTAGCGTCGTACAGGACAGTCACACGTTTCTATAGATTTGCTTTAATGCGTCTGTTTGAGGTTTTTATTTTAATGTATTTTAATTTATTTGTGTTCACGTCGTGGTTTAGTTTTTGGATCTTTTGTCATCTTGTTTCTATTTTCTTATTTTCACCTCCTTCCTGTTTTTTTTTTTTTTTTAGATAAAATCTTATTTTACATTTTTTAATCCAATAGTTTCATTTATTTTATTTACCTTTTTGTAGAATTTTCTTAATGAGGATTGTCTGATAAAAGCAGCAACAAACTGAAGTGACTCATGAAGTCATCCATCATCTGCTGAGTTTGTTGAAACTAATGACATGAGATTTACATGTCAGAACTGAGTCCACACGAGTCTCATGTGTTTTCTGTGTTTGTGATTTGTTGTCTCATCATGTGACCTTATTGTCCTCCAGCCTCGGTTTGTGTTGCCTGGCAACAACTGAGCAGTGACGATCACCTGGTGTTACATCACACTTGCAGGACTCAACTGCTAGCTTAGCTCTCACAAA